ACCAGATAATTAGCACCTACCTGAGTGGCTCATTCAAACAGTCACTGCATTCGTAGACTGATGCCATGTTTTGGCTTATGCTCTTCTAGCTTTCTTCCAACCTACTCCTACATCAATCATCATCAACCATCTCGGTTGATAAAGATTCACTACCTTGTCAGTTTATTTCCCATTCTTTCCTAGTACTGTGTCTAGTCTCATAATTGCTGACTCGACAGTCCCAAAATATACGAGCGGTGCTTCGAAGACACCTATGACTCAATACCAACAACATAAAATTATCCTCAATTCTTAATGACGATATTGCCTATTCATAAAGTAGAACGGAGAAAAATGCTGCTCAATAAACTCGTTCGTTGGTTGCCAGATGGACATCTCGCCTGCACCATAAGTAACGTTAGTAGGGCTTCTAAATTCGTGCTCATATTTCGACCCATAAAGTTATGGATCTACAGAATAGAATGCTGTCTCAAGGTCAAAAAACACGACCGTGTTTGGGAGTTCGCAGATGTTTGAAAACCTAACTAGGGACGAATATCTTGTCTACACATCCACTCCCAGGTCTGAAACCAGCCTGATTTTTACGAGTTTTCTCATCACGATCCTTAATTAAGCGTTGGATGAATATCGAAGTTGATATATTAGACACTAAGTTAGTCAAGCTGATTCCCCTGTGACTTTTTACTTTATTATACATTGGAACAATCAGCGATTGAGATCAGTTTGATGAGATTTAGTTCAGTCCCCAAACTCTAACTAGTTTTCCAGTAACTCTGATAGTTAAAACTCGACCATCATCAAGATCTATAGAGTTAATCCATCGGATCATTCTGATCTCCCTCGTGTTAAACTGGCTACAGCCTTTTCTACTTCACTAAGATTTTGGGGGCTTATGTCGACATCTCATTCGGGTCGCTTGGTAAAAGTAATAAACTGAAAAGTTACTGGAGAAAAGTTAAACTTTTTCAAAACGTTCTGACCATAGTCTGTCTCCTGGGTAGAAAGGAGATGATTATTTCGTCTTTATCAGGAATGTTCTCACTAACTCCAGGATTTTTACTACTTCTTCGATAAATCTAGAGGTTGTCAACTGTTGCCTATCGCTGCCGCTCTTTCCATCGGTTTCGCCTTAGCTACCCACTTCTGCTCATGATCATATCATGGGTTTCCTTTCAGTCTATATTTAAGTTACCTTGGCTCTTCATCGTGTTCGGTGTCTGATAAGATGAGTTTCCAAGTATCTATCAGTTCCGTAGGCACTACTGTAATCCACTGATTCTTATTCTTTTGGTTACGGTCACTCGTGGATGTCATTGCTTTTTTAACAGCTGTCTGAATATCGTCTGAACGTCACTATGGGGATTAACTAACTGATATTCTAGTTATTTCTTAAATATACCCTTGACATTTTTGTCGTTAGGCTGAAGTCTAAGCGGTCTTCTTTCTGTGGACGCAGATCATGATCAGTATAGACATTCCCCAGAATAAACAGTAATCTACCAAGCTTATTTAGAGATGACTGATGATAATGTGGTCTATTTGCCTCCACAATTGGGTCGGTTGTGCGGGTCACGATGTTAGACGACATCTCTGTTATATCCAAACGAAGAATAAGTGGATGGTAACTGCTAGGAGTTAATTAAAAAATATTATTACATATATTCTTATTGGATGATTATTACGTAACCAGATCATTTATATATTCGTATTCCTTTTGTTATAAGCTTTCATTTGACTTATTGGCTACTTTTATACGGTTCACCATTCTTAACATATTCCCAATTTATCAGTTACACTGTCCCACGCTTACAGACACTTTTAGCTTAATCTTGTATATTTATTATTTTTCATTTTATGGTGTGATACGGTTTAGTCTACTTATGCATAAACTACGTATGTCTGAAATATACGATTCAGACAGCGGAGGCTGGTATTCGTGTTCTGGAATGAGGCGGACTGCGTTAGACAAGGAGCTACCGTACAGAGGACCAATAAGGACTTAGAGTTGACCCAAGGCTGCCAGTGTTGTTTGATGGTTCATTGGTTTAACACAGGGACAATGTCATAGAATTCGTTGTTTTGATTAGTGATTTGTCACGTGATAGTTAACGGGCCATAGGACATAATCATTATTCCTTATAGTTAATTCTTGCTAAGAATGGATGATTTTCAGAGTGTATATGTAGCAGAATGTCTATTTTCTCTGTTCGTTGAGCTGGGACACTGTAAGATTCCCTAACTGACTTTCACTTTGTTTAAAATCACCTAACCGGATGTTAAAATCCCCTGCTAGAATTGTAACCTCTGAGTGTTTGAATTTTGTAGGGAAAGAGAAATCTTGTTGTAAAGTTTATGCTTTCCTTCATTCGAACTGAAATTGGTAGGAACGCAGGAAGAGATGACAAAGAGGCCACTGAGTGTCTTATTATCTTACCTTACCCCCCCCCTTATCGGACGGTGTACAAGTGACTGTCTGTTAGAATCCAGTACAGGAAAACTTCCTCTGCTTTAAACGTACTACTATATTTGCGCCAGCAAGACCATGAGATGTGACAGTTAAGTCTTTCTATATATATAGGGTAAATTGCACCAGTTCTGCGTATTGAGTAGGCGAGGTCAATCGAATGACTACACTCGAATCTTTTATGTATGTTTCGGAGACAGTGTTAATCGATGGCTCATAATTCTGGAGTCATAGCTATGGAGGCTGACTGGTCTATTTGAAATCTGTCTCAAACAGTGAAAGCTGCAACATTTAGTTTGAAGAACGGTTTAAAGATACAAGGAATAAAATCTCGTGAACCCGAATAGTTAGCATTGGTGGTGCATGGGGATAAAGTTATGGGAAAAGGGTTGATGGTGAAGATAGAGTGAATGTTAAGAAGTGACGAACGAGCCATGACCGTAGACTAGATCTATAGTCCTGTTAAGGGTATAATGATATATTTCGTTTCCATTCGATAATATTATAGGAGAGTTTTCCTTCTTGAGAGACCTAAAATAGAAACTAGTTTGCCAGTGGTCGTACTGACCTAGAAATGTACCTGAAAACCTCAAGAAACAAATGATTGGGGGAGGTCACACGCGACCTTTCTGTGAAAAGTTTGTAATGTATTAGCTCCGTGCTTAGGAAGGATTTACCTCGAGAGATAGAAGTCCGTGAACTTAGGTGAGATGTGACATTTTCAGGGGTAAGTTTTTCCGACTCCTTGCTTTTTAAATGAGAAGGTAACATTTCTGTAGATACTGCTTGTCTGAATAAAACACCTTACTACCGTAACACTTCAGTATGAATTTACCCACCGACCATGAGTTTGCTACTTTATTAGTCTTACGGTTCTTCAACCTAAAGGAACAATTGTTTGAACCAACATTGCTTGATATGGTTATCAAGACAGCCAAGTCCCACCACTGAGTCAGGGTAATGGCTAGGATTAGTAGTAGTGGTAGCTATTATTAGTACTTTTATTATTAATTTTATTGTCAATCAAAGCTTGACAACATATAATTAACGTAAATAAAGTCGAACTAGCTGAAAGAAAAGCTTTGATCAGTTATAGCTTACAAGAAAAAATATTACCCAACATTAGTCATTTATGGTTATTCCTTTTTACACGCATAAATCAAAGTATTTAACCAATCAAGGCAGTTTATTAGTCAGTGATAACAATGGAATAGGTTACATAGATAAACATAATAAATAAAAACTACAAATTGATAGTGTGATGACAGGTGTACTAGTTGTGATGATATTAACAATGCCTTGAATCCATGTTTCATGTTGGTAAATAGGTCAACAGCTTGGAAAATTGTAGACACTGAAATAACATTTTTTCAAATACACGTTTCACTATCCATTTATCTTCCTATTGCATAATCTGATAATTTTCAAAGAATGTTATTTCAGTGTCTACAATTTTCCAAGCTGTTGACCTATTTACCAACATGAAACATGGATTCAAGGCATTGTTAATATCATCACAACTAGCACACCTGTCATCACACTATCAATTTGTGGTTTTTACTTATTATGTTTATTTATGTGATCCATTCCACTGTTATCCATTTTTCTTAAACAGGTGATCTGTTAATGATAAAGATGTCAGTATTCATTTGTGACTTTTTTCACGGTGTTTCTTATTTAAAGAATGCCTAATAAGAAGAAGCAACTAAAAACACATTTCATCAAAAAAATTAATTATGTCACAAAGATGTTCATTCTACTGATTAAAACTCAATATCACATACAAACTATCGGCCAATTAAGTAGTAAGTAATTGGCAATATTAATAAGCTCTTATAGAAAGTCCATTAAGGATTTATAATTACTTTCCACAATCTAACTGATTAAGTTTATCTGTTAGTATCAACAAGTACAATAAATGTAGTACAGTAGTGAACGAGAACCCAAGTAGGGATAACCGCATGTGTTTGAATACAAAATCTCTTAGTAAATTCCGTGAACTATACAGAGAATACTTCACTTGTAAAATATCAGTTAATCGTCTCAGATTTTGTTATTCCTTCGTTCCCACATCAATCATTCTCTGTTCTCTTTCTCTTTCCTTCAATCTTCTTAACGTTCTACAGCTAAACACTTCACTTTTGATCGATAATATATACTACTTATATCTATCGACATCAGTAACACACATCATAGTACTACGCTACAATATTCAATTGTAGTCAACTGCTTATATTATTGATAATTAAAAAAAAATACATTTTCAATAACTTTTAATGAATTTTATTTTTTTTTTATTTCAAAATGTTAACTAGTGTTTATTTATTGATAATTGATCAATATGAACTGATTATAAAAATAGTAATAATAATCATTAACAATTTTGTTTTAATCATGAATTTACAAAAAGTACTTTAATAGTACACTGAATCATTAAAGATACTGACGTTATTTCTATTCAATAAATTTAATTGTTAATTATATTTGATTATATATATTTACGTAATTAATAAACGATTTATCAGAAATCTGTGTTATAATGTATAAACAAACCATCAGTTAAGTGAAAACATATAAACTAATCACTTGACAAACTATATAAGTTCTACAATCAATTTAGATATAATAATAATAATAATTGAAAAGATAGTTCGTTAAATCTATTGTTAATATCAATTGAACGATAGATTGAACATTTTAAGATGGTGGAGAAATTGATCCAATTTATCAACTAATCAGAAAAATTATGCACAGATATAGGAATACAAATCAAACTAATGTGAGATACAACTAAAACAAGGAAGTAAACAATGACTGGTTTAAGGTCAACAAAAACCAATCAACATCGAGATCTATAGGATAGGCTGTGAACCACGTGTGGAGAATTTGAAACGCTTCACTTCTATCTGAAGTTTGTGTTGATGATATCGTTCAGAAGAACGATGAAAGCTCCATGACCAAACCATTCAACTAAGAGTACAAAACTCCATCAAAATAAATTAAACATGATTTTCCATAAACTACTCACTGAGGTATAAAAGTTGCCTTAGGCACAGGATTATTTTGTCAACAAGCGAGATTGTCAAGATAGATATTGCCTAATCGTTTACGATGTTTGACAGTTTATTTTGTGTCAGTATATAATCACGTTATTTTATCAAACAAAAAAAGCCTCTTTTGCTGAGGAGCTATTTTGTCTTTCAATATCTATTCAGTTGATGGTTACGTCAGTATAATCCGATCTCGTAAGCAGTTATCACTTGGATAAATCGTATCGTTGAATAATGTCAGTCGATTAGATTTTATTCATATAGTAATTCCTAAACGTTCGTTCATTAAATCATCAACAAATACACTACCAACCTAATTATATTTGTAGTTATTTAGAGAAAAACTTTCTTTAGCAATATTCTTGTTTTTCTATATAATGTGAATAAATCTTAGTGACACCGTGTCCAGGAAAATATATGCCAAATCTAATTTAACAGAAACATTATATATGTACTCTTATTACACTCTTTGAGCCCCGTGAATATCTTAACAGATAGATACTGAGAAACCGATTTGATGGACACTATCAGGTTGTATGTAATTAAATTCAAAGCTTAATATTAGTTTCTGAAGCCATATATATCTCATAAAAAATGACTCAATGTAGTTAATCGAATTCCCTAACCCACCGATTATTCTCGAATTATTTACATTGGATGTATGGTGAGAACAGGTAGCCAATGAAAGAGATATTGACGCTCCTATAAACTTATTTACACTGTTTGAAATTATTCGGCTGGAGTCAGAGGCTAGAAGAAGTTAGGTTTCGTAGAAGTCAGTATACGTTAGCAAAGTGTACTTCTAGTCTTGGAAGAAGTGATGCACCATTCGGAATCTGGACTTTCGTCATGGCCAGACATTACTACCTATCTCCTGTAGAATTAGGGTGTTTATATGTGAGTCAGTATTAACGATTGTCATTGAGAGTAAAAATTAGTGTTAATTGTATGCTCTCGACAAAATTGACGCACCTCAATTATTTTTCCACGAATTACACCTGGGACTGCATAACCACTTAGAAATGAGTTTCGGCAAACAGACTATCAAATGTAATTATGAACTTAGAGTGCTAACTAGAGACAAGTCGTACTACAGACACAAAAGTAAGTATTGTAAGTCAAATACCACCGTTAGTAAAATCTGACTAGGAAAAGTTCGTACCAGTGGATCACAGAAGATATTACTTGAACGTTTCCATTCATTTGAATAAGGAATAGGAGCGTTACTAGCTATCTCGTTTTGACATAACACGTACATACCAGCAAGATCGAAACTTTTGGATTGGGTCGATCATAGAACAACAAATGTGGGTGACTAATAAATACTCCTAAACGACCTATAGTTACTCGCAAATCTGCTCTTCATTACCTACAAAACCCTACACTACATGTCCTTAGAAAAAACCGCAATTTACCGGTTACCTGGTGCATGCTTGTTCTACGATGAACCACCCAGATTTCAGATAACAGACCTTCGACTTCGGAGCGGAACTCATGCATCAATATTTGTTAACATTCCGTGTTATAGCCTATGTAAATTGGTGATGAAAACACTAGAGTTAATTCTTAAACTTAACGTTCAACTGGAAATTCTGATCCTGATACCTCACATTAATTTATAACCCCCTTAAGTACGTAGAGATTGTCAGAGTTATTATAGTATTGCTAAGAATTCATCCATAAAGTCTAACAAAGTTGAACCATCCAAAACTGATTTCGGCGAAACGAGCGCAAACACCTCACGGACCACCTGACAGGCACCCTGAACACAATCATAATCGAAGTGCAAGTATGGATCATTATCCCACCAGCCAAGACTTCAAGCAGTTAAGAGAACAGGTCAGGAGTGCCAGCAGCGCGGAAGTTCGACCCACGTCTATTTTATTTACGCACATAAACATTGGCACAAGTAGGCACCAAGTGTATATGCGCCAATTGTGGTAGTCCGACATGTGTGGGGGGCCTGGGTGAGCAGGGACGTGTAACTACCTATTACTGAATGCACTGGCCAGCACCACAAAGCGAACAAATATCACAGAGCTGCCGGAAACTAAATCTTTACAACCAACCTACCAATTATACACTCGAACATTGCTTGTCCGTTGGTGAGGATGTAAACGAGCCAACCCATCAGACACCACGACTTGTGAAGTCTCATAGACCTATGATAGAGCCAATTGTAAACACCATAGCATCCAAAACACATTCAGACAGCATCAAGAACAAAACAAGCCACGAGTCACGAAAAATCTTTATTCTGTGATATTACTTATACCATTTGTACAGACTAGTGAAGTCAGATTAAAAACATTTACGGTGAACAATACTTGGACCAGACTCATCATATTCCTGTTTGGAAATCCACATCTGTTGGAATGTTGATAGTGATGCCAAAATAGAACCACCGATCCATACAGAGTACTTCCTCTCAGGTGGTGCAACTATCTTAATCTTCATAGTACTGGGAGCTAGAGCGCTAATCTCCTTTTGCATACGGTCAGCAATACCAGGATACATTGTACTTCCACCTGACAATACTGTGTTGGAATAGAGATCTTTACGGATATCTACATCACACTTCATGATGGAATTGTAAGTGGTCTCGTGAATTCCTGATGCTTCCATTCCCAAGAAGCTAGGTTGGAAAAGAGCTTCTGGACATCTGAATCGTTCATTACCAATAGTGATAACTTGACCATCTGGAAGTTCGTAACTCTTCTCCAAAGCAGAACTCGAAGCTGCAGTACCCATCTCCTGCTCAAAATCCAAAGCAACATAACAAAGCTTCTCCTTTATATCTCGAACAATTTCACGTTCTGCAGTAGTAGTAAAGCTGTAACCTCTCTCAGTCAAGATCTTCATCATATAGTCGGTAAGATCTCTACCAGCAAGGTCCAGACGCAAAATGGCATGAGGCAATGCATAACCTTCGTAAATCGGAACCGTGTGGGTCACACCATCACCTGAGTCCAACACGATACCAGTTGTACGACCAGATGCATACAGCGACAACACTGCTTGAATAGCAACGTACATAGCTGGGACATTAAAAGTTTCAAACATGATCTGTGTCATCTTCTCACGATTCGCTTTCGGGTTCAGTGGGGCTTCTGTCAACAACACTGGATGTTCTTCTGGAGCCACTCGCAACTCGTTGTAGAATGTATGGTGCCATATTTTCTCCATATCATCCCAGTTAGTCACAATACCATGTTCGATCGGGTACTTTAGAGTCAGGATACCACGTTTCGATTGAGCCTCGTCTCCCACATAACTGTCTTTCTGACCCATTCCCACCATCACTCCTTGATGTCTTGGTCTCCCAACAATGGAGGGGAACACGGCTCTGGGAGCGTCATCTCCTGCGAAGCCAGCTTTACACATACCAGATCCATTGTCGATAACAAGAGCAGCAACGTCCTCATCCCCCATTTCCGTAGAGTGAATGAATGAATGAGAATAGATACCGTAATAGATAGTTTTACTGTTATATAAATACAATAATTACCTTATATGGTCAGATCTATGTCTATTATTTGAAAACCAATCCGTTCTCAATAGTCAAAGCCAATCGCGTTTGTAAATTTCACATATCCATATTTGGTTAAACAATCATAATTTTTTGTGTTAGTGACCAATTAGGTTTCTGTCTGTCTTGCTCACTGAAGTACGAAATAAATTTATTGATTTTTTCAGCCCAATTTGGCCGTCCGTGAATTTTTCTACCCCGAGTAAGGTCATGTGATTCATGCGGAACCGGTGCAGTTCTGTTGACCTTTACTGACTGAGTCAGAGTGTAGGTCAATCACAAATGTCCACTTGGTACTTCTGGTGTCTTAGGCGTGATTTTTCTTATTTTTTAGTTGACCATAACTAGCTCTAGCTGACACAACACTTAGTTTTCATATGATAATAAACTCTATTTTTGCTCATTTTCAAATTCAAGAAGTTACGTATAAAAAATAAAGCAGACATTTGCTGACTTAAAAAAAAACCTAGTGTTAACGGTTTAATAAAATAAATAACGGTAATTTTGAGCCAAATGAAAATCCCTGAAGATTGGTTAGGAATAGTTTCAAATCATCAACTGCTGTTGCTATTTGGAATTTTTTGAAACAATATAGCGAATCACATATCATGTGATTCTGGATTTACCATAAAAAGTCACTTACTTGTGTGTACACCAAACTCTATTCCTTTCCATTAATTTGAATTGCACCTACGATATGACAATGCAAGCATCAGTGAGAGGAATTGGATAAGTTCTGTGACTAAAAGATGTTATCAGTATGAGGTTATGAAGATTGTTGAGTTTTGATTGAGATCATAAATGGATCAATGTTAGACCACCATTGAAAACCTGTAAGCACTGGACGGCCGTTTCCTTCTAGTATGGGACTCCTCTGCAGAGTACAAGCACTAAAAGATGTGTCAAAAATAGAATTCACCGATAATATGGAAAAAGTCTACCGTAATGGATATAGGGAAAGAATAAATTATGATGGAAAAGTAACAATAGATTTCTGACCAATCAGACTACTCCCTGAACTGGGTAACCCCAATCCATCATTGAGGAAAGGCAGTTCGTTGTTTAATTATGATATGCCCTGTGTCAATTTAGTGTTCAGGTATTTTCCATTCTTCCTAAATACTATGATGCATTCAACAGCCGGTCGATCGTAACTGTTTCCAGAAACGTGGAAATCCACATGATCCATTCTGAAACATGTAGATATTCCAGCTAACATAATATGATATAATAATTTGTTTGGTTTCTATTGTTTCATATATTACGAGTTAGTAGACCTATATGACGATCTTCAGTAGAGTTATTAATGAGCCCTAATTTATCATTCAGTTAAGGTGGTTTTGGAATAGTCGATTAGCATGAAGATTATAATTTACCATAAATTTATCATAAACACGGAAAATTACTTAAAAAAAGAAATAAAAGAATCATAAAGAGAAGTTAAAATCAACAAAAAGAATCATGCATATGGATCATTTGATAGTTGTTTAACAGGACACATCTTCGATCGTATTCTGTAAAGTAAAGCACAGTGTGAATAGTTTCAAATACCTATCAGGATCTTATCACACAGTAAAACTAGGAAATAGGTACAAACGAGGTGTAGTTTGATATCAAGAGATTACATCAATCAATCCGGGACGTCATCGGTTAAATTGCATTCATTCGGTCTTTCCTGTGGAACGGAACAAAATCACGATTATTCACGGTCAAATAATAATGTTAGATAGATAAGAAAATTATATAACTGAAAGAAGCAACTGAGATAACTAAAGAAATGAATTTTCGATTTCTAGGATTTTCAGAAATTCGATAGTGGCTTACGCGAATGGAAACAAACTGTTCTCAAACTATAGAGAAATAGAAAGTTGTTTTATTCCCTACCGATTATATTTAAATGGTAAACATTAATATCACTCACTCACAAACAATGCAAGACATGATATGTGATATCAGCGTAAATTAATGCATTTAACATCAACAACATGAAATAGAAAACTACTAATAGTCGATGGACTAGGCGGCGATTATGTACGCTCAAAATATTCTAGATACCTCAATGGATGAAGGTCCATAGAAATTATTCACGGTTTCTTAATTTCAGTTAGCATTCTTTTCAAATTTATTTTTGAGTAATTTGTTTCATAGTTGTTTATTTTGAAAGTAGGTCACCGACAAATAGTCAAAATAATTTGATCATCTGGGTTAGACGACCAGTTAACGCTTTTTTCCTTTTTCAAAATCTTGTCTGTGAAAATAGATAGACTAGACATACTCAGTAAAATTGATGAATAAATAGTTAGAATGAATTATTTATTTCAAGAGCGGTGCAACATCAAACGTTTAATTGACCTTAATTTCTCTATAGAAATACATTGAGGTATTTATTAAACTAGCTACACTATGTAAGTTATGCCAGAAAAAAATAAAGTGGCATTATTTGTCTAATTAGACTCATCAAAAGAAAATTTTCTATATTTATTAAAGATTGTTATTATGGTTTGGTAGAAAGGGTTTTTGTTGTGTTTGGAGATTGTAGTGACTTAATAGTTGAATTCATGAAGAAATGGACGTCCAGTGCTTCCAGGATTTCCAAAGTGGTCTAGATTTAATCGACTTATGAATTCTACTATTTATGGTTAAGTTATAATCGACCTTTTTTTAAATGTAAAGTTTTTGTTCTAATCAAACAAAGAATAGATTTAAAATAATGTCAAGTCAGTTGGTTGTTACTTAACTAAATGAAAGTGAAGTATGAGTACCTCAAATTTCAGTGGTCGATATGTATTCCAATTAACGACTAATAGATAAATAAGAGTGTTCTAATGGCTACTGATAATTCTATACTGCTAAGGGAAATATAACTAGAATAATAATAATAATAATAATAATAATAATAATAATAATAATAATAATAATGATAATGATAATAATAATAATAATAATAATAATAATAATAATCAATTAACGTACAGTTGTCGCGCTTAATGTTAATGAATACAAGATAGCTAATATAAACCAAAAATGAACTTATAAATAGCCAAAATGGTAGTTAAGACAACATTCACAATACAACTGAAACAAAATATTATGATAGTCAATTCACAATAAACTAAATGAATATGAGAAATACTTAACAGTGTTTGGTTTGTTCAACTATTTGCAGGGTATATCAAAATACACTAAGTACTGGTCAAGCAGATATTGCACCATATCTCAACCATTAGAGAAAAGAATGATAACAGTGTAATAGAAAAAGTGTTGAATAAGTTGTGATGTAAAGATTCAAAGAAAATTAAGGTTAATTCTGAGGTTATCTGAGATTTTTTACTGATCGGCAAGCATATTGTATCTGGAGCTTCTGAAGCGTAGTGCTACGCCGCACTAAGATCTTCATTACAGACATTTTAGGTTAACTTCAGACACTTGAAATGAAATTTTTTAAATGAAAACTACGTCTCAATATGCAACACTCACTTACCGGATGAGTAGAAAGTGACCAGAAATACCGAATACACTATACTTATTGAACATTGAAAATATTGTAAATGATCTCAGTTAAATTTTACAGTATTCAATCAAATACAAGTCAAAAGTTTCAGAAAAGTATGTAAAATATAAAGTGAACAAATAAAGGATTAAGTTATGTGCTCTATTGAGTGAGTGCTTGTAGTCTCAGTGATCATAAACACAAAGTACAAATACGATTCACCTTATTTAAATTGTAAATTAGGCAAATTCAGAACTTCTGTAAAATTTCAGTTATAAAATTCTTTTTCTTTTTCTTTTTACGATCTCTGGATTATTCAGTTTATGTGTCTTAGCGAATTTGAATAAAACTTGATAACTTAATCAAATAGTTAGCAATTCCTATGAAAATAGTGTATTTGACTTGATTATCCCAACGATTATAATCCATCAAGACATCAATAGTCATATTACAGTTCTTGAACGTGTAGTGACTCACGTTTATCACGAGAACACGACTGGTGTAATAAAAACAATTATTATTATAACCAACTGTACCAGTGTTTGTTTTAATGTGCTTTTGTTTGACTGTGCTAATGACAGCTATATTGTGCTTCCATTATTATTCACACACTTCGATTGTAACTTCGCTTTAATTCGGTTACGTTCTGTAACCAAGCTTGTATCCTGGCACGATCTTGGTATCCTTTCGACGCCACGAGATCGCTAGCAAATAAACCTCAACTTGGTCCATTAATTGCCTTCTGATATTTGACTTCTCGGGGATTTTATGGAGTCATTAGGAACGAGCTTCTTGGTAGAGGTGTTCATAGTCAATCTCGACTCGACGCCACGCTACAAACGTAAGCACGTGATTCAGTCTATCTCACCAAGCTTATCAATTCTTATATATATATGAAGGAATATTATGTCTATGCCAAAAAGCCATGATCACAAGAGTAAGCTATATAGAATTTGTAACATAATGACACAATGCTAACTCTACCGTACATGTATAGTGTCAGTATTTCGATGACTACATGTTTATAGGAGGTGAATTTATTCATAAATAAAATTCATATTTAACTACTCTTTGTTTATTAAAGATAGACAGTTTGTGAAGATTATTTAATTTGAAAGTAGATTGTTATCAGTGATTAGCTTCAAATGAATAATCATTGAACAAAAATTTTGTCGCACTGAATAGTCGTGACCAGTGGAGTTTAATGATATTAAGCATGAAATAAACCACTCCATCGACACAAGATAACGGTCACGCTACGTAGGAAATTGATTTCGTCAAAAAGAAAATTTCCTCTGAATTCTTCATCTCTTTATTCAGTAATATAATGGGTTACTTTAATTATCTGAAAACTGACTGTCTTTATACTTTATTAGTTGAATTTATGAGTTGAGACAAAATCTAACCTGATTTCAACATCGTCAACGCTCAAAATAAAATTGTCAACACAAATACGATAACAAAGTTTTTTAAATAATATTAACGTATTTTCAAAGTTTAATTCACCGTTCAATCTAAGCTAGACCGCCACTGAAAACCTGGAAGCATTAGTTGACGA